GTTTTAAACTAAACTTTAAACTTTTAGCTAAACTGAGGCACAAGCATGCAAAATGTAGAAATAAAAAGACTTGTTGGGAAAAAATTATAAAAATTATTAAGTATAAACATTTAAGACACACAAATGCATGCACAAGTAAAAGGAAAACATTTAATATATAAAAAACAGTAAAATTTAAATTATGTGTTCAAATATATAGACTAATTTATTGGAGCTAATCTGGAGAAATAAATATGAAATTTAATTAAAATATAAAACAGGAAATAAAGTTCTTCTTCTTTAATTTAATTAGTGCATTTTTAGTGTATTTATTTATTGGTTCATATAATTGTTTTATTTCTAATTATGTCAGTGTTGGTCCTCCGTACTGCAGCAGCCTGATAATCATCCTTCAGATCAGGTGTGTTGGAGCAGAGGAACAGGTAAAACCTGCAGGGCTGCGGCCCTCCAGGACCAGGAGTGGCCACGCCTGCTTTAGAGTCTGCTTGAACTGAACTGTTCGGACCGGGTCAACGACAGAACCTGAACCCAAACTCTGACTCAGCAGAAAGGAGCTGTTTGTTGGTTAAAAACGCCTCGTCACATCTCAGTCTTTGTTCCAAACCTTCAACCTCTCAGATGAAAGATCTGCTTTTTACTGCAGATTCTCCTTGGTGTAAAAACAAAAAAACCTTCCCATCAGCCGTCCGGTTCATCAGAACCAGCAGAGACCTGCTCAGGGTCAGACCGCTGGTTTTAGCTGATCCGGCACTTCCTGGTACAGTATCTGTGTTTGTGGGGTCTAAAGTGTCCCTGAAGAGGAAATCAGTGGATCTTCATGATGACAGATGGGAAACAGGAAGAAGGCTGATGTTCTGCTGACAGGAACAGTTTAAATGTTTTAAACGATTTCTTGGATTTAATTCATGTTTATTAACACAAATATTTAAATATATTTTAGATCTGAAGAGTTTTTAATGAGCAGGTTTTATTATCTGAGCTGTAGGACTTCATGGTTAAAAACTATGGTGCTGAGACTAAACCTGACTTTACTATTTCATGTAAATCCCTCCAGACTATTCTGGGTCTGACATGGGGTCTCTCCTCAGGGGGACATGTCCTCCAGATGGAGATGTCCTGGAGGCTGAGTCACCCCAGCTCTGCTCCAAAAACCCAACTAGACCTACAAAAACTGACAGACCAGGACAGGACAAGAAGCCAGGAAGACCCCTGGTCTCTGCAGAGCGTCAGAGGTGGGACAACCTGTCCTCAGGACAACTATTAGTCCACAGATCCGGTCCTTAAAGACCAGGGGTCTGCAACCTTTACAATCAAAAGAGCCAGTTCTGCTCCTCGTCTCACTAAAAAACTGTGTCCAGAGCCACAAAACAAGCTACAGCTGTGGTTACCAACTGCTGGTCCGTTTACGGGCCTTTTCAGGAACCTTTACGGTCAGTGGAGGTGACGTTATAAAACTTTAAAAAATATATTATTTATTATTGTACACATCAGGACAATTATAAAAGCCAGATTCATGTAAACAAGAAAAATACTGTATATAGTTTATACTGAATTTTATAGAAACTAGTACAACTGAATTATTCAGGAATATTTTATTTCCTAATTCTTCTTATAATGTAGTCTTCAAATTATTTAAAGGTGATTCTGATGATCTGAGAGAAAGATCATAGAAAGAAATTGGATTATTTAAATAAACAACAGGTTAGCGTGAGATAACATGTTTTACTTTTTGTATTAGTACTGATCACATACTTGTATACAAACTGATTTCTGTTGTGGGTATAAAAACAATTAAAAATTATTTTGTTATGTTTGGTCACATTTTCAAAGAGCCACATGTGGCCCCAGAGCTGCAGGTTGCGGACCCCTGTTATAGAAGAAGAGGCGACCACCACTACGGACCGCAGCCTGCAGAGATCCTCACTGTCCTCTCTGCAGAGCATCGACCACTGCAGGGTCCACAGGAGAGCAGCCTCAGTCATCAAACACCCGACCCACCCCCAGCAGGGACCCTTCACACCTCTGCCCTCCGCTACACAAGTGTGACACACAGAACCTCCAGATTTAAGAACTCGTTTTTCACAAGTGCCATCACTTTTAAACAGCTGAATGTGACGATCAGACTGTTATCTGTTGCACATTTACACTGATTGTACTGTTCCCTTTCTTCATGTTAGTACTGGATTGTTCCCTTAGTTTGGTCTCTTTTTTTGTTCCAAGTGTGGTCTTTTATTTATCCCTTTTCACCTTGTTAGTATCCTTTCAGTGTTTATTCTTTTTAGTGTGGTAAAGTGGTCAGCAAAGTAAGAATTTCATTGCTCAGGGAAACATGTTTTCATCTGTGTAAATGACAAGAAACACTTTGCATCTTTAACATAAGTCTTTAAATATAATTTTTAAATAAATCTGTAGAAATGAAGGTTTTACTTCTGAAAACTCGTCGCCTCAGAGACGTTGAGCTCCTCGAAGTCGTGTCTGGAGTTCTGCTGAGTCAGCTGAAAGGAGCTCAGACTGCGGTCAGATCCTGCTGATCCTCCAAGAACCGAACCACCAGAACGAGACAAAAGAAAAAAGTCATCAAAGTTTCAGTTTCACTTTAATTCAGTGGTTTTCCTCTTTTTACACGACGGAGCAGTGTATTACTCCACGGTTAGAAAACATTAAATCATCACAATAATAATAAAAAAACAGCTTTCATGTAGGAAATATGCTCAGTACAAAAACCAGTGACATTTATTTAATAATAAAATGCTCCAAATACAGTTTATTAAAAATGTCTTATAACGAGACGCTCAGAAAGCTGCTGATTTATTTTAAAAAAAATTGTTTTCAGAGTCGGAGTGAAAACTGATCAACACAAGAAACTTTTGGTTTTAAAGCAAAAATAAGTTTAAAAAAAGCAGCTTTGGAGTAAAATTAAGAGGTTTTTAAAGTTATGCTAAGCTCAGCTAAACAAACAGAAATGCTGTAATCTGACAAATAAAACAGAATATTTGTTTTTTAAAGGTTGTATTAAATAAATGAAGACCTGCTGCAGCGCCCCCTGCTGCTCAACAATAAAACTATCATTTAAAAATCTTCAGATTTCTGCCTTAAAGCTGAGGAGTCCAGTCCTGGAGACCCCCCTGATCCTGCATGTTTTAGTTCTTAGGTCTTCAGGTTCTGAAGAAACACATCCTTCGTTCACTCACTCAGGTGTTTCAAAGCAGAAATAATCTGGGAATTTTACCCTCGACCTCTGGCTCGACGGAACATCTCAAACCGAGACGTTTGTCGTGAGAATCACAGCGTTTCAGTTCAAATGTGTGAACAGAAATAATAAATAATCTTTTAAAAACACTTCTCAAACATCTCACCTGGTTTTATTATTGCACAAAGAAAAAGATTAAAGTGATATACCCGCCGTCAGTACTACTCTCAGCTACTACCACACCACGTTTTATCTTCATATTTAAAAAATTTACTGAGTTTCAGGTGTCTGATCAGCTGCGGCGTCCATCTTGAACCAGGCTGACCTTCAGAGTTCATGATATTTTGCTAACAGAGAGTGGGGGCAGGTGATAAAACCCTTTGATCCACAGACTTTTTGTTCATTTAGTTTTAGTCTTTTTTATGCGAACCCTGAAGCGTTCCAGTACATAGACAGCACCAACACTCCGAACCAAACTCCACAGGTTTCTTTGGCTCCGCCCAACAGAAGCTTACTTCCTGTCAGGTGTTTATGTTTACAGGTGGAATCATTTTAATGTTTTTATTCTTGTTTTAAACCGACTTGTCCACAGAGCCGCGCCTCCTTTTTTTCATTTTAGGGGTGATTTTTGTGAAAAACAAACTAAAATACCACGCTGAGTTTGAAACTCATAGGCTCCGCCCCTTTCCTCGTGGGCCAATCAGCCGGTGAGCTCCACAGGAAGCTCCCGGCTGCAGAGCGCCTCCCACTGCCGGGCGAGGAGCGAGATCAGCCTCTCCCTGCTGTCGGCCCCCGGGACGAAAACGCACCACTGCACCTCGGCCTCCGCGCCGCCGCTGGCCACGCCCCCTCTGGGCCGCGCCTCCTCCCCGCTGGGGGCGAAGTGGTCCATGGTGAGGTGGCAGAGCAGGTCCGGGCCCGGCAGGTCGTCAAACACCAGCGTCAGGGCCTGAGGGTAGGTCTGGTACCCCAGCAGGACCCGGTCCAGGTCCCGGATGCGCCGAGCCTCGCGGAGCTGGTACCGCTCCCTGCGGAGGAACCAAAACCTGTTTTTAACGAGGAGAATTCATTCATGTGATATTTAACCTTCTGACTGGTTATAAATCTGTCCCGTTCTGTAAACCCGTCATGATGTGGGTTTAAAACTAAAACCAGGGAACCTGGGGAACATCGAGAGGTTCTCGTGTCGTCAGCAGTGGCGTCTCCTCTTCTTCCTCTTTCCTCGCAGCCTTCCTCTCGTATCGTGTGATTAAAACCGACCTCAGTCCGTCTGCAGGCTGAGGAAACACTTTCTACTTCCTCACAGCCTCCTGTTCTTCTCCTGCGGGCGGTTCTGTTGGTTCTGCAGAGGCAGGGGGGTCCGGGGGGCTCACCTGGACGGAGGCTCCTTGGCGAAGTCCGGCAGCGGGTAGCTGACGTAGTCCTCGTCCAGCAGGAACATGTCGGTGCTGGTCAGGATCAGAGTCCGGGGCTGAAGGACCGGAGACAAACCAGAACCAGAGGATGGAACAGAACTGTGGCTGGGGGTCTGCACCTGCAGGAGCCAGCATGAATGAATGAATGAATGAATGAATGAATGAATGAATGAATGAATGAATGAATCAGAACTGAACCACAGGACTGCAGGTTTACCTGGAACACCAGCAGGTACAGCAGGATGTTAAAGGAGCACGAGGATGAAGATGAGGATGAGGAGGATGAAGCAGCTGAAGTCTTCCTCTCTGCCACGATGAAGGTCAGGTCTCCCATCTCCTCCTCACTGGGATAAATGAACTTCACCTTGCTGCTGTGGATCAGCTCGTAGTTCTGCATCTTACCTGCAGGGGGAGACAAAGACTGTTGGACCTGTCTGCAGCTGAGGGACACCTGAAGAACACCTGAGGGACACCTGAAGACACCNACACCTGAAGGACACCTGAAGACACCTGAAGACACCTGAGGGACACCTGAAGACACCTGAAGAACACCTGAGGGACACCTGAAGACACCCGAGGAACACCTGAAGGACACCTGAAGACACCTGAGGGACACCTGAGGGACACCTGAAGACACCTGAGGGACACCTGAGGGACACCTGAGGGACACCTGAAGGACACCTGAAGGACACCTGAAGACACCTGAAGGACACCTGAAGACACCTGAAGGACACCTGAAGACACCTGAGGGACACCTGAAGGACACCTGAAGGACACCTGAAGGACACCTGAGGGACACCTGAAGACACCTGAGGGACACCTGAAGGACACCTGAAGACACCTGAGGGACACCTGAAGACACCTGAGGGACACCTGAAGGACACCTGAAGACACCTGAAGGACACCTGAGGGACACCTGAAGACACCTGAGGGACACCTGAAGGACACCTGAAGACACCTGAGGGACACCTGAAGACACCTGAGGGACACCTGAAGACACCTGAAGGACACCTTAAGAACACCTAGGACACCTGAAGGACACCTGAAGACACCTGAGGGACAGCTGAAGGACACCTGAAGACACCTGAAGGACACCTTAAGAACACCTAGGACACCTGAAGGACACCTGAGGGACACCTGAAGGACACCAGAAGGACACCTGAGGAACACCTGAAGGACACCTGAAGACACCTGAAGGACACCTTAAGAACACCTAGGACACCTGAAGGACACCTGAGGGACACCTGAAGGACACCAGAAGGACACCTGAGGAACACCTGAAGGACACCTGAAGACACCTGAAGGACACCTTAAGAACACCTAGGACACCTGAAGGACACCTGAGGGACACCTGAAGGACACCAGAAGGACACCTGAGGAACACCTGAAGGACACCTGAAAGACACCTG